ATATATGTTTAGGTATGGCCTGTGTCAATGAATCCTTGCAAAATGCTAACCTTTGTTACTGCAGGTTAGAGGGTACTTTATATTCATGTTTCTTTATTTCTAGAGGTCCTAAATTCAACTGCTTTTTCTTTCTTATAGTTACTCTGAAGGGGAACCATTAGGTGACAAGGATACTAAATATACGAAAATATATATAGCATATATAGATACATAGATCCATGTTTTCTGAATGCATGTTCAATTATTTAAAGAGTTAAAGATTGAAAATATGTTGCATCTTCAACATTACATGGCATTTTACAAATCAACGCCCAGTGCATTTACTTCTAAAATGCCAGGGATTCCTGGGGCTATCAATGCAGCTTGGCATTAATACCTTGTGTGAATTTAAATTCACTAGAGCAGATGTGTTTAGCAGATAGACAGGCAACAGTGGACTGAGTAAAAACATGCCACAGCTGACCAAGTATTTCTCTAAAGCTCAACACAAGCCTACATCAGGAGATGCTTCTACAATTAAATCTTTGTCATAAACCTGCATTTGTAATTAGGAAAATCATTGCAATCATTTTATTTTATATTCGAAAATAAAAAGTTAAAATTTATATCCTTATTTTACCACCTTGCATTTGAGCCTCTAAATCTGTTTGAAGGATAATTTTTGATTAATCATCATCATATTAGTGATCAATCCAGAAAAAAGAAAGAAACATAAGAAGAAAAACAATCAATATTCATATGTTAAAATAAGTAATAAACATTAATTTTAGCCATATATAATAAGTGAATAATCACCAATTCTCACTACATTTGATGAAAAATATGAAATATATAGACAGTGTCCAACTATGCGAGCTATTAGATTAACCTTAGACATTGATGCGACAAATTGTAGTTTTCAACTTATATGTAATTTAACAGAAAAAAAATCTGTTTGACAGAAAATGTGATAGGCAGTGACAGATCCATGAGCAAGTCTACACTGGGCCATTTCAAATTATTTATGGATCATAAAAGAGTGGAGTAAATGGATTCTATCTACTAATTTTATAAATGTAGGAAATTAAAAGGAATTAAAGAAAATATGAACAATAGAATGCTTGTGTCCTGCTAAGAACATAAAGGGGAGAGTTACCTTTAGAGGTTGTTTAGAATCACCCAGGAAGCCGGTAAAAAAACTGTTAATACTTTAGCATCCCTAGATCTTGTCAAAAGAGGCTTCATGTCACCTGCGTTATTTTTCTATGTAAATGTTTATTTACAGCACTGCTTTAAAATATGTGTGTTACATCTGTGCATTTCTATCCGTATTACATTGACGTACAGTCATTTTATTAAATGCATTTATGCCTAACCCTGATATTTACCCTATCCCTAACTATTAAGACTATTAACCTAAAGTTAATTAACAACATGCCTCTAAACTGTCTAAGTGGGGATCCACCACATGAGGACCAGCCTTGGGTCCCCATAAGGCCTGTTAGTTCTCAGAGGTTAGTAAATATTTACAAAACTGGTAATTTTTGTACGTTTGTTTTATCTATGCATGTTTTTTGGTGTGTACAAGTTGCATCATGACTGCGACTTGCTGAAAAATTAACATGTTGGTCAAATTGTTAAATGCTTTTTTTTTCTTCAAAGACTGATCACTCAGCAGGAGTGACAATAAATGAATTGTGAATGCAGGTACTGATAGAGGTATGGAGCAATTCTGTTGGCCTAGTGGTTAGAGCAGTGCGCTTTTGCTCTGAGAAGGTTGCAAGTACCCGGTTCGATCCCCACAGCCTGCACTCTGGCTCTCTGAGCAAGACCCTTAACCCCACACTGCTCCGCCCCACGATGGCAGCTCACTGCTCCCCAAAAGGGGATGGATTAAATGCAGAGAGAAGTAATTTTTCCATTGTGAGATCATAAAGTTCAATTCAATTTCAATGTTGAATAGGTGTTAAACATCTATCAGATCCTCCAGAGCTGCTCCCAGTTTGTGGAGTCCAGGAGCTGCAGCTGGATCATGGCTACTTTCTAAGACAGCCGGAAATTCTTCTTCACACCACATCGCAGCCACATTCAATTCTTTCTTGTTGTGACATGAAACTAAAGTTACATTTTCTAACCCTAGCAACCCTTCCTTAACATCCTGATTTTGTGACAGCTCTGTTTCGCTGTAATCTGCAACATATTTATGTTTATTTCATCAACGAAGTTGGATCCACTAAAGCAACAAAAAAGTGCTTGTGTGATTGCACTTTGTGCAACCTAAAGGTCACTGCTATGCCATGTTGCAACATAATGAAGATATAGGCAGAGATAGTTCACTGCTTGAACTACGCTGAATTATTCCTACATCGTTGATAGTGCAACACAAATATAGGAAAGGCACAATAACCTGGATTCAGCCCGTTGAGAGGTTAAGGCTTCTTTTGATTTAATTTCACCTATACCACTCCAACTCTTCATGTCTGCCATTAATTATAGAATTTAAGCAACAGAAAGAAATTCATCTATCCTATAGGATCTTCCTGAAAAGGGTTAATTTGCATTATTTTGCTAGCGCCATACTTCAATAAGACGCTATACAGGATTAAGAGCATCTCTTTTTCAAAAGGAAACAGTCAAGGGAATACTAGAGACAAAAAATATACCTGCATTATTATAAATGTTACAGTAATGACACTCATCCAAAAACAGGAGGAAATATGGGAGTAATTGGACATTTTTTTTAAATCAATGAAAATACAAGCTTGAAACCTGGAAGAGCCTCTCAGGAGACCTTGATTCACAGCAGGTCTAGCTTGATTCTCCTTATATTTCATATGTCTGCAGTGAGAAGTATGATTGACAGACAGAAGTTTTTGTTCCAAAGAAAAAAAAAGTGGTAGTCTTAAAGGTATAGAGGAGTATTTTTTATTTCTAGGTGGATCGTCTAAATAAGTGGTCCTCCTAATTGTCAATCATTCTGGTGATATGTTTATGTAAGGCTGTCCTACGTGCTAGTCCTGTTAGCTATCTTTCAGGCGTGTATGTGTGGTGGGCTACGGTTTCAGACAGTCGTTGAAGCTCACCTTTCTCATGACAGTTCTTTGAAAATGGCAGAGTGTCGTAAGAGAAAAATTGTCTATGAAGTGTATGAGAAGAAAAGATGATGCTGATATGCAGAATGCTTTGTGCGGAGAGCTCTCCTCGCAAAGCATTATGGGATTTGCTGTAACAGCAGCCCAATGTCGCCATAGGCCTTCGCAACACAGACAGCTGCAACTAATAACAAAGTGGAGAGGTCTTTTAAAAAATTCGCAAAAATCCTCCACAAAACAGGGAGTGAAAACCAACAGAAGGATGGTTTCATCAGACGAAATGCGAAGTGTTGAAAAGCCTTATAGGCTCAAGCCTCCTGATGGCCTCCATTAAATGCTGTAGTTGTTTAGTGTATTAAACTTATGCAACCAGGTTGGTCAAAGTTTTTCCTTCAAATCGATTTCCTCGATTTACAGCTCAAATGTTCCATTTATTACAATGGAACATTTGAGCTGTATTATAACAACTAGCTGTTATATATGTTAATGGCTGTAGGCAGACAGGGTTTCCTATAGTTTTCGGTCTTACAACCAATCTGAAGAAGCCTCTGACTGTCTGATGAAGCTTTTGGTTTTCATGTTATGAAGAAGTTTGGAAATGATCTCTTAGGGTCTCTGAGTTAAAATCCCAAAATCTCTCATTTTGATAGAGGTGTATTCATATGAGAGCCTCTTTCCTTGTACTTACAGTTAAACACATACAGAATAGAATAATAGAATAAGCCCTTTTATAAATGAATTTTAATGGTGCAATTATTGAACTATTTATTAGGCACATTCAGCCTTCTAATTAGAACTTGTGTTTCCAATCTAATCATTACCAAATTAAACTGTGGTACTTAACTGCTTTTTGTGAGAGATTTTACCTCCTGGTTAAAGGTGGTAGAAGAGAGATTTTTTTTTAGGGAAATAATGTGTCACCTTCTTCTAAAATCTAAACTGGGACTGGTTGACATTCAAGGATATTCACATGTGACATTTTGTTTGTTCCCACAGATCTGATCGTCAGAGGATCTGACAGAGTATACTACAGGTGAATATTTTTATCCCTACCATATATTTCTGTTTCAGATGAAGCAGGGAATGTGATGCAGGGAGGAGGTTACGCGGGGATGCATGGTGAAAAAGGGGAGGGTTTGGTCATATGTGACTTTGCCCGTTCCCAGGTGAGCAGGGTTTTACTACGCTGGTTCTGTCAGTCAGGAAGCCAGTCAGTCTGCTGGTTTCAGAGGACGGCCTGAGAGGGAGGGAGAGTGTGCGCACGTAGAGAGAAGTAGCTCCACTGAACGGCAGTGAGTATTCCCTCCAGTCAATCACTGCCCACAGAGCTGTTCAAATGATGCAGGATTTCTGAAGAGGCTCACAGGGCAGACGTGGGCGAAGGAGGGCCTAATGTCACACTCACTACACTGAGGGCGGACCTTGTCAATTTATTATACGAAGAATTGATGACTTAGAAAGTTGCGGCAGAAACTCAGCAATGAAAGAACCGTACGAGGGGTGTAAATAAAACCAGCGTCGCTGGCACTCAGCAGAAGGTGTTAATCCCTGACTAATGAACTCTGCCTCTGCCAGTAGCTTTCCTCTTGCACCCTTGGACATCTCCACCTGTGCCTGTGTTTTTGTGTGAGCGCATGAGGCAATGGGGATTCAGGAGGAGAGGGACAGGCTCCACTCTCCCGTCCCCTCAGCCTGACAGGCAGAACTCAGCCGCACAATTTCACGGTTTGTGAGCAGTACACACCACTGCTTTCCCATCCCTGAGACCCAGAGACCCACAAAGTGTGGCTATGTGGGGGTATTAGCTTGCGCATATAACACACATACACAAACACACATGGTCTGCTATTAATAGCCAGGCAAAGAACAAATCAAATATTAATCCTTCAACTCCCTCCTGGAATTGGAAAAAAAAATGCATGAACTTACCATTTTGTTATTGATTTCATGAAAATGAATTTCACAGACTTTCTCTACGATGTCTTCACTCTCAAAAGTTATGAAACCAAATCCTATGCAGAGAGAGAAAAAGAGGGGAGGGGGTTGGAGTGGGAAAATTAGTTAGTTGAGGGCCTCGACAAAACTTCAGCAAGTCAAAAGAAAGCACAGCACAAGACAAGAGTATCATCTCCATTCCAGATTCTCAAACTATTCGAACACATCGGTGGAGATTGGCTTCCACATGCAAAAAAAAAAAAAAAAAAAAAAAGATAAGAAAAGAACAAGTGAACAAGGCAGACATTGTCCTCTTTAAATCAGGAATATGATGAAATCTGCCACATTATTAAGGGCACTCAAGGACCCCCCTCTACAAAGAGAAGATGGGAAAAACAGCACAAAGCTCATTTAATGAGATCCAGGGAGCCAGGGCCCTGCATCTGAATTTCATTAAATGCATTTTGGGTTTCTTTTTATTGAAATCTCACTGTATAACAAGCCCCCTATTTTTATGTTAATATGGGCCTTAGAAAGAACGCGTCGTGGACAGAGGGATTTCCATGCCATATTTATAGGATAAAAGCTTAACCCCTCTTTTAACACAAAGACAGAAGCGGCGAGATCCTTTTTACACTTTTGAACACGAGTGGATTGTGTCGCTCCCCTCTCTGTTTTGATGGCGATGCGCTAAGCAAAGCAGCGTCTGTGGAGCCGGGGTTGCAAGGAAAAAATATTTGATTACTTTTGTAGAAGTGGGACAGAAACAGTGAGTCAGACTGAGGCACACAAGCTGTTCTTTAAAACATCACCACTGCTGGAGAAAAAACTGCTGTCAGGACACCATCCTCAAGTTTTTATCTACTTAAAAACACTTCAGAAGCCTTAAACCTTTGCACAACAAGTCAAATCTAAATGTATTGTATTGGGATACAATGTCATCGACCAGCGCAAAGTAGGTTAAAATAAAGACAAGCATTTGTGATGCCTCATTATAAGCAGCCTCTTTTACTCAGACACCCTAAATGAAATAAAAAGCAGTATCTACTCTATCTTTAAAGGAATAGTACACCCAAAACATGATTAGCCTTCATTTTCTACTCACCCCCATGCTGAACAACACTCTGGAGTACTATATCTCAAATGCATGTGGAGATCTGGGAGGCTTCTTCCTGTCTGCTGACATTCAAATAATGGAGGTCTATGGTGACCGAGACAGAAAGGTCCATAAAAGTCCACAAAAAACGTGTCAATATTCCTCCATACTGGTCGTCCAATGTATTCCAAGTGTCCTGAGTGGGTAGCATCCAGAATTTACTCGAAACGAAGTCATTTAGAATGTTTTTAGAGCATAAACAGTAGTGTATAGGATTTCCTGAAAGCGCGCACGTGCGCGTTCACGACGCTACGGAAGCCGGCAGACCAAGCCAGATGAAAGTGCGCATTCAGCGTCTGCTCTGCCGATAATGCAAGCGTAGAAGAACAAATGTGCTGTTTACCTGTGCAAAGAAAGAAACAACGAAAGAAAAATGTCTGAGGACTTCAGTGTTGAGGAAGAGCATGAGTTCTTTGCCGAGCTGAATGCGCTGGTTTGGTCTGCCGGCTTCCGTAGCGTCGTGAGCGCGCATGTGCGCAGTTTCAGGAAATCCTATACACTACTGTTTATGCTCTAAAAACATTCTAAATGACTTCGTTTCGAGTAAATTCTGGATGCTACCCACTCAGGACACTTGGAATACATTGGACGACCAGTATGGAGGGATATCAGATATCAGAGGGATGTCAGCAGACAGCAAGAAGCCTCCCAGATCTCCAGATGCATTTGAGATATCAAAAAAGTACTCCAGGGTGTTGTTCAGCATGGGGGTGAGTAGAAAATAAAGGCTAATCATGTTTTGGGTGTACTATTCCTTTAAAGGGGGCAAAGGAGTAATTATAAGCATGGTTTGAAAAGGTGTTAATGAAAGCATCATCAAACACCTGGAAAAGGTTCCAATGGTCAGAAGAAATCAGACCTTTTCCGGCATACAGATCAATTCCTACAAGTGAATACAAACAATAGCGCTAAATCTGAACATGGCAGCATCATGTAGTGAGGCGGCTTCTCTTTAGAGTGGAAGCCAAAACGGATGAAACTAACTTCAAGAACATCCTGAACTTAAAACAGATATGATGATCCACCTTCCAGCATCAACCTAGTCTAGTCAAAGTCCAAATGCAATTTAAATCCTCACTTAAAATCTCAGATGTTTACATAAAAATTTATAAACAATATAGATGAAATAGAGCAGGAATTTTCTCTAGAATCTCCTCCAACCCATGCTGCTTTGATTTAAGCAACAGACGGCTCAATATCAACCGAGATGGGATGATACAAAAAACATCCCTCAATCTTAATACATCTATTTGCAAACTGCATCATTTTCATTCCATCTTCAAATTATTCCGAATGAATATTTTGTCCTTCCAGCGCAGGCCTATATATTGACATACTGCAAAGTACACATACACAAACTACATGAGAGATGAGACATTTATCTGCACTTACTTTACTAAGGTGGTTTATCCCTGTAATATCTTTGGCTGCATTAGGTCATTGCTGGCAAAGCTGAAAATCAATGATCACGGCTGCTTTATGGCAACACTGGATTTACAGGATTTTTGAATCAAACATAATTAAATTCCTTTATTTGTAAAGCACCTAATACATTGGCCCAATACAGATATGATTAGCTTAGATTAAAAACAACAACAGCAACCAAAAAACACACTGAACTAAAGTGACATTTAACGTCGATACTAAATCCTTTTGTTCAGCAGCTTTGCATGTTTTCACACTCACATCTTTGCAAAAACAGTTACATTTACTATATTACAGTACATTAGACTAAGCTGCTTATTCTATTAATTCATCAGATCATCCAAACAGATTTCTTTCTCATGAGCTATTTGTGCTTCTTACCACAGCAGGCAGCCTATCGCAAATCCTGACTTCTTAGTTCACTTATCGCTCACACGCTTTTCCCCCTTTTCTCTTCCTTCATTTCCTCTCCTATAAATAAGAAAAGATCCTCCTCAAGCTCCTTTTCCTGACATATTGAAACAGTCTTGTCGGGAAAAAAATGTAATGTGGAAGCTGATTTAACATGAAAATCTAATGTAATGAGATCTTATGAGACAGAATGTCAATTTCCAGAGAGGGGGCACATGTGAAGGGTTGGTTGGGTGAGAGAGGTGGAAGAGCAGGAGATCTGGTCAGCCATGGAGGGGGGGTACCTCTAGCATCCTTTTTTCTGCAGCTCACCCCACACCTCCAGCACAAGGAGCACTTTTGACAACCAACAAATCAACCGCCAGGAGTAATTTGTCACAGAGGAGTGGGGGTGGGAGGGTGGAATCTGGGGGAGCAGGGATAGAGGAAAAAAAAAAAGGAGTGGGAAAAAATAAAAACAGTGGAGATAAGGGGGGTGAGGGGAAAAAGACAGAAAAAGTGACAAGGAAAGAGGTTAACACACATGGCCCCTGTCGCCACACTCCTTCCTGCTGCTACAGGCAGCTCCTCCATCAAGTGACAGGACATTTTCCACTGCAGTACTATACCCAGTGAGGTCACGGCTCAGCCACGCCACCACAGATACCACCAGCAGGGCTCCTCCACCCATGACTGCATCGCTTTAAATGAACAAAAAAGACTTTTTTTTTCTCCTGTGGTGTCAACTACTCTTAGAATGAATCTGTCAGCTGCTTTTACAATGTTTTTTGGCCCCTGTACAATATATATATATATATATATATATATAAAAAAAAATCGTCAACATCAATATTCTTTCGCTTGCTGGCTCAGGATACCTCATGTTCCCTCTGGGCTGTCAGAACCTCAGGTGCTTCTTTTGCTGTGCACTTTCTATGCTCCTATCCTGTATAATAAACCTTAGAAAGAATAAAATAGCCCTATTTTGTCCCTGCAAGGTGTCAGAAGACTGAGACTTTCCTGTAGTACCCCGGTCCTTCTCCTCCGCCTATCCACGCAAGCAGGAGGCTGACCTCCACAAAACTATTAAAGCCTGTCAACTCTTACTGACACAAGTGGAGAGGTGTCAGCATCCTCACAAAGAAGAGCCTTTCACGGCTTAAACAATAGCCTCTAAATGGAAACACCTGGATGTCTTGTAGGAAGGATGATAATAGGTGTTATAAGGCTACTGGCTGAGGCCTCTTGGCTGTATTTGGTCACACTTATTAGCCAGAACTGGCCTTGGCCTCATCTCATCACTCCGCAGGATCGGCAGGGAGCCCACTTTCACGGCCCTTTACCATCTTCATCATGGTCGGTTTTTATTTCGCACTCAGCGCAGGTTTCTCCGTCTTTGTTGTTCTAATGCTTTCCACCCACCTTTAGAGGCTCAGCATCTCCAAGGCTGACAAACAACTCATTCTGGCACAGGCGGATCACTGGAAAACTCGCAAATCACTGCAGAGATGCTGGTTTGGCATAAAACTAGACGTCGGCGGGCTTTTGCAATTTCTTTCTTTCAAAAACGTCCTTTTCCTTATCAGATATCCAAAAAGACATTATGTTTACACATTAGAAAAGGGCTTTGAGCTGGTCGAACTCAGGGTTCAGGTATGGAAGAAGAGAATTTATACCTGTTGCGGCGTATTGTTGGAAAGATTTGTGAGCGCTTGAAGATGCATGGAGGCAAAAATAAGGATGACAAATTTACAGCTGCTACAGAGCAACTCCCTGATGACTGCAGCTAAATATAAAGCAATAAGTGCAAGACAGTGAATGCAAAGCACATATGCATCATCACTGATATACAAATTCTACACCTGGTGTTCACTGGAAACCTTTCTGGGTCAATGTTTGGCTCTAAGTTATAAGTTAAAAAAAAAAAGGGATTTCAGCTCCCGGTGTGAATCTTGTATAATATGATATATGTTATTCAATGTTAAAGATGCTTGGTTTCTGTTATTTAGGCTACCATTTATATCAATGTATATTTACCTGTTGTAAGTATTATTTAAATGTTAGTGTACACTGCAAAAACGATCTCAAAATGACTAACAATGTCTT